CTCCCGGCACCCACACACGGGCACACACGCACGGGCACACACACACGGGCACACACACACGGGCACACACACACGGGCACACACACACGGGCACACACACACGGGCACACACACACGGGCACACACACACGGGCACACACACACGGGCACACACACACGGGCACACACACACGGGCACCTGTTGCAGCCCTGGCTGTGTTGAATAATGATGAGAAACTTCAGGCAGCTGGAGGAACAGTGAAGGTCACTCCTGTGGGAACTAGTGAGGCTCTGGTACGTGTAGCAATCGGGTAGTAAGGTAAACAGGATGGGGAGTCAGATAAAGGGCTTCAAGTAGGGACCAATCAAAAGGGAAACGGGGACACGTGAACAATGTATGTTAACCAATGAAGAGCCTTGCTGTGCCACATGGACAGTGTGCACTGGCCTGGGACTGTATCAGCTGCACGTGGCTGAACAAACTCGGACTGGACCTCCATCAGGTTGGTGTGCTGTGTTCCTTCCCAGCTCGCCACAGGTACGGACCACGGCAGGCACCAGCTCAGAAATGCACCAGCTCAACTCCCTGAATGTGGCCATTCATAAAAACAGATCTGAACCAGCTCCAGGTATAAACAGATCTGAACCAGCTCCATCATGCCCTGGGGCAGCTTTCAGGTTTTAATATCAAAAGCACTAAAAATAAGCAACAGGACAGAGCCTCTCCTGAGTCAGACTGTTCCAAGGGTCAGCTTTTAGCTAAGTATGATCTGCAAGAGATTAACATCTCTTGAGCTGTAAAAGAAATTTAAAATTATAACTTTAAATTGCCTGCAATTACCAAAGCAACGTCGAGTGCCAAGAGAGTACAAGTCAGTTATAAATAGACCCCCATACATTCAGTCTCAGACATTTGTCACACCCCACTTTTTCCTTCATTGTTTCCAATTCTGAATTTCAGGTCACAGGCCAGGCATCCCAGCCAAGAGGGCAGAGCTTTGTTCTCTTTGTTGCCAAAACATCCTTTCCAACTTGCTTCATACTTTTCAGGCAATTCTGTTCTATGACAGGGGCTCCTCACAACACACTCCCCTGCCTCCTTAACCACCAAACCCACTACACAAAAGTCTCAGCAGTTTTCATGTGACAGCAAGAACAATAGATAAAACAAAAGTTATGTACAATTTTCACTAAAAACCAGTTACATTTAGCAAGACAGAACTACTTGTGCCTTAAGACTGCATTATTAGCAAGGAAAACTTTTTTTCAGGATTCAATGTAATAAAGCCTGAAGATGTACAGTGCAAAGAGCCAAAGCCAATTAGCTAGTTCTGAGTGGTCAGAGCCCAGAGCCTCAAGGTCTACCTGGCACCAGAGCCAGGGTTTGCCTGGAGAAGGGGAAATAAAAAAAAACCAAACAGAACCAAACAAAAAAAACTATTATTTGTACAATGGAGCTGTAATTACCTTTATTCCCCATTCTCACCATAAACAAGATTACAGTCATCATGAAGTTGTAGCAATAGCTTATTCAGCACAACACTTGCTCAAAGTGATATGAAGTAATAATACAAAGAGACAACTAATGAAATCACAGCCACTAGTGCTGCCCAAGCTAAAATGCAGCACCAATTTGTCAATCAATTAAAACATCCATTAGCTTAAAGGCCAAGCCAGCCTGCCTGGCATAATGAAGTCCCTGCCCTGGTGACATGACTGCTGCACACACTGCCTGGGGGAAGGCAGGGCTCCTCCACAGCCTGGCAAGCCTCCCTTTGCTATGCAGGTTTTAATTTTTTAAATACCTTAGAAACTGTACTTGCTCTGCCCCCTCTAAATTCTTTTGCAAATGACACTTCACATCCTTAGAGCAGAGTGATTCCCCCCTTGCATGCCTGTTTAGACTGCTGAGTTCCCTGCTTGCAGCTCATCCTCACTAGAAGAAACTCACTCAATCCTACAGAAAACCCCTCACCAGCCATTCCTTCCTGCTAGTTCAGAAATCTGCCGATTAACAAGAGCATTTTAAAAAAAAATTAACCTTACTATAAATATTTTTCCTTTGCTTAGAACACACATGAAAGGGATGCAGTTTCCTGATGATGTACCAATCCAACATCCTCACCCCAGCACTGCACATTTAAAGACAATTCCTCGCAGGGAGAACTGTTAAGAGATACAATTTAAAAGGAAGTCCCCCCAAAAAAACCAAAATTCAAGGCTTTGCATTTCTGCAGCTGTAAATCGCTGCCATTGGTACGACACCTAAGGTACCTACTGTGTCTTTAGCTGCACAAGAAAACCAACAAGGCATCCTAGAGCTCGTGCTGCCAGGAGCAGTTTCTCTCGCATCCAGCCACAAAGCACAGCAGCTCACGCAGCACAGGCCTGAGCTCCCGCAGGCTGCTTCCAAAACTGGATTCTCTCCACTGCCCTGAACTCATTTTGTCCCATCCTTCACTTAGCTGGGGTCCCCGAGGATGTTTTCCCCATCTTCAGGATCATCTTCAGACTTCATCACTACCCCCCAGCAGAGGCTGCCCGGCCGCTGAGGCCACTGGTGGGTCCCGCTCCCAGATCTTTGGTTCCTGCTGCCCCAGACTGCCCGAGCCAGCCAGAGCCACCAGTAAATACTGCCCGGATCTGAAATAGCTTGTAAACAATACGTAGACAGTCTCATCAGCCCAGATCTATTTTCTGATAAGGCAGTACCCGAGCGCCCAGCGCGCACACATTCCCCGCGCGCCCCTGCCCTGAGTAAGGCGGCGCGGATTTGAGGTGCGCTCAGGAGACAAGCACGCATGAAACCTCCCCGTGCTGCTGGCATGCTCTGCAGACATGCAAGCACTCACTTTAAAATAACAAACACGCCGGTCAATTAACTGTGCACTAGCATTACTGAAAGCCATACTTGTCACCACTAATAACACGGGACTGAAATACTCGCCGTAGTAATTTTTTCCCACCCCAAACAGCACCGAGCTGGAACCAGACTCAGGCTCAGACTTCAGACAGTTACAACTGCAGAGCAGATGGAATGTGTGAGCCTATTTTGACAGAAATGTAACCCATTTTAAATTAGAAAACACACATGCCTCTGCCTTAAAGAAAATGCTCCTTTTACAGGGATGAAACCCATTCTGAATAGAAGCTGGTTTCAGCTTACTGCTGCTGCCAGCCTGTCTCCCTCCCTGGGAACGGCGAGGAGTCAGGGTGGCTGTGAAAACACCCCACAGACAGCACGGTGATTAGCAGTGGGGAAGATGCAGAGCCTCCTCTCACAGGTTTTAAATTTAAATGGAGATTGCTCTAGTGCCACATTTAGAGAACTGGGTCAATGTGACAAGCCACGCACTGTGTCTGCAGAAGGGAAACGTGGTGCACAGCCAGAAAACCCACACACACACACCCTGGAGGACACAAGATGCTGTCAATAATCTAATAAATGTGTCTACTCGGGAAATGTTTTACTAATCACCCTCTC